TTTTTTTTTTTTTTTTAATGCAAGTCCAGCTAAGAAGTACTAAAATTTGAAATGCATCTGCAGTTGACCCTAGACACTGCTAGTTCTGATACACTGTATAGGCACCTTCTTGTGGAAATGRTCAGGCTGGCTTCAGAAAAAGCACCATTTGCCTAGGAAAGATTGAATATGCAGGCACCACCCAAATTTGTGATAGCAGGTAGAAGAGGAAACAATATCTACCACCTTCCTCTTCATCCTGGTAAAAATTTTGTGTGAGAGGATGTACTAGCAACAYCAATCACATCATTCTCAACTGCTGGAGCTGTCCAGGCCCCTTCTTTGTATTCTGATGAAGGAGGAAGCCCAGCTGCCAATACATATTTTGTAGAAGGAATATATATTCATATACATAAATGAGACAACTGGTACCCCTAATTACAGGTTAGGGGCAGTSCTGCTGTGTACTTAGAAAGAATCAGGACAGAAATCTGATACACAGGCAGCTATTTGGTAAGACTGCCTGCTCAGCACTTGGGAGCAACACTGAGAGCTCATAAAGGAATGTCTTCATCTTCTCTTCACCCAGAATTAGTGCCTCAACATTTAGGAAACTTCATTYCAGCAATTTTCAATTGTTATCTTCCATAACTTGCATCCCACATTGCTGTCCCCTCTTACCCATTTTTTTCACTTTGGTACTGATTTTGTGGGAACTTGGCCTCCTGTCCTAGCCACACCAGTGCTATGCCTCTGTCCTCAACTTCTTGGTACATTGTAAATATTTCCCCAAGTGATAAAACTTGTAAAATCTAATAAAATAGTTTGATTTTGAAAAATAAGAAAGRTCTAAGAATTAAATATATTCTCCTCAGCTCTTTCAAATACACTTAAGCTTGAGTTATCTAGAAGTTTTTTGTGACCTTTTCCTCAAATTTAAGGAGATCCTTTTGAATTTCACTTTAGGTTTTACTGCACAAAATTCAGCTAGTAAAAAGGCTTCAAATATGATCAAAATTCAGATACAGCATGGAGACAGCACAATTTGCTGAGTAAAACTACACTTAAAGCTCAGACGTGACTGAGATCTGGCTCACAACATACTCTACCATTTATTCCTGACAAGTAGAATTTTCCAGTCTAGTTTCTATATGATTTATCTACTTCTTTCCAAGCAAAGCTTTGAAGTGTTTCATAGGTGTGGATATACTGTGCTGGAATGGAAATAAACTATATTGTTCCGGTTAGTGGCACCATTAAATCAATGATACTAAATATGAATGAATTTCAGATCAAATTAATCTGTCAGATTTCCTGGTGGAGCAAGTTGATCAGAATAATAAAAAGGAATTCCTTAAAGAAATCTTGGCATGAAAACAAAAAGTATTTGGTTGAATATAAGATTGCATTAGTTAATAATTTAAAATTTTCCTAACTGCTTAGACAAAGTCCCTCTTTCCATCTGTTCTTACATTTTACTTGTTAAGACAAAGAGTATGAAATCACACAGGAACAAGTCCTGCCTCAATAAGACCAACTTTAATATTTCATGTACTGATTTGGGGAGAAAATGTATTTATTTCACTAAACCACAGTTTAATCCCTTATCTAAATGGTTTGGACTAATACAAAAATGAATACCCTGYTTGTATAAATACGTTGGGAAAAATATTGTGAGTTTTTAGGTGAAGAGAAGATTATGATTAAAAAATAATTTTCTTTTTGCACCTTTGYTTCATTTTAGTTCACGTGTAACTTCCAAAACTTTCATACAGAAAACCTGAAGCACTGAAAATCCTGGACCCTTTCAGAGTCACACTCATGTAGTTAGGATGAGGCCAATAGATTCTTGTGAAATACTGAGCCAATTTTTTTTTTTTTTTTTGAATCTGTACATTGTAATTACCAGCTTTTTATTTTATCAAAGAACCCAGGAAAAACTGCAGTGGGACCTGGCTCTGTGTTGAAGAGTATCTTGGTTTTTGGGTTTTTTTGTCTACTTCAAGTGATAATCACAGCTGGAATCAGTGTCAGCCAGATCTAAGGTCTTGAACATTATACTGAGACTGGTTTAGTTGGGTTTTWTAAAAAGGCAACCTAAACTTTCATTTTATTTTAAATGTAAATAAATAAATTATCATATGACACTTTATATATGTAGTTTGCACTGTAACATCTGGAAAAGGCTGATGTCTTGTTTGTGGTTAGGGGTTCTTTAGAATTTTTCTTCTAAATAAACACTTTGCCATACAATATATTACAGTTCTTAKTCTGCAGATTTTTCAAATTTATACCATGGGACTTGGTGTCAGCAAAACTACATACTAAAACCATTAACAACAGAAAAAAAAAAAATAGGAACTGTAGACAGGAACTGTTTCTTCATATGTACACATGTACTAACTATTCCAAGCTTAAGTTTCCCATGAAATTAAGGTCAGCTGTAAAGTTTTGGTCACAGGATTACTTCAATCCAAATGCATTATCCAGACAGCTGTAGTTTWTCTTATTATGCTTTGCTATCATCTTCTTTTGACTGGATGATGTCATTAGCAACTTTGATTTCTATGGTTTCTGGATTTAAAGCTTCTTTGCCRTTTTCTTCCTTTAGTGGCAGTTTCCTATCAGAAAAGAAGAAGAATCATGGTAACACATAAATAACACAATGTGAAATTTAGGTCTATAACACAGGTATGGCTTATATAGGTCACAGTGTAAAACAACAATTTTTTTTTTTTAAATAATGTATAATAGCTTTGTTATGAGCACTGAGGTTCTTTGCTTTTAAAGAAATTCATATCAACTCTTTCCATATCTATAAAGCCACAAGAATCACATTACAAGAACATTGCTGCTGCCCTGCAGAAAAATGAAGAATGCAATTCTTCAATAGYACAAAAGAAAAAGTAGAATGTCAAATTACTTGACCCAAGTCAGTACAGAAATATGTGTTGCCTAGGATACTGTGAAACACTTACAGACAAGATTTTTGCTGAATCTCAATAAACTCTTATTTTATGTCTATTCTAAATGTAAATTCAATTGTATACAAAAGAACACGGCTATTATTGGAGATTAGGGAGAACTTCTTTTAGAGCAAGGAAGTAATGGAAGCTATTATTTAGAAACTTCTACAATTTAATTTTCATGGATCAAACAGTGTAGTTTCATTAAAAACTTACAGCCCTTTCAAGATTTAGTGAAAACCCTGAAGATTTGGCAAAAGAGTCCCCACCCTCTTGAATGTGATCTCATTCAAAAAAGGTCTTGAAAATCATTGATTCCCTACTGCCAGTAATTAGCTGTCAAAAATATAGCTGTCAGAAAGATGCATGGTTTACTGAGATGTTCCTGTAAAAATGTCTCCTGGGCATAATAGCTGTTAATCATGATTCCAGTTTAGGTTTGCTTTCTGTTTTTTAACTAGGGAATAGTAGGCATTTGTCTTTTTTACTCATAATAACTGCTAAATGTTTCAGTAAATTTCCACTTTGATTGCTTTGATGTCCCAAAGAGGAATACAGTGTTCAAAACCTGTCTGAGGAATCTCCTAGGACTGTCTTGTAATAACAGTGTTTAATAGCAGCAAATAAAACAATATCTAATTCCCAGTCCTATGAAATTTAAGTTGTCTGAAATGAGCTAAGAAAGATGCTGCTTATCCAGAGGTTAAACAATGAGCACAACCTGTATCTGAGAGAAATCAAAGAGAAGACTGACTTGTTGCTACTAGAGTAAAATAAGTGGATTTATTATCAGATGTCTGGCTCTGAGCACAGAGGGACRTCTCTACTAATTGTCTGTTTCTCATGGCACACCCAAAGGAAACAGATTTCAGCCCACAGCAAGACGCCTGAAAGAATGGAAACAACAGAATCAACACAAATCTATTTTTAGCAGAAGGTAAAACCCTGGGGCAGAGGAAGAGCAGCTCGTGAGACGCATTTTAGATAGGCAGGCCTGTGTACCAAACTTTTGATAAGGCAAAGCACTTAAACTAGTACTAAAAAAAACAAAAAAACAAAAAAAACCAAAACAAAACAAACAAAAAAAAAACCTCAGTAATTTAATCTATTTTTAATAAAGGTAGAGTGATTTATCAAAAGGTGGTACTGGAAAGGAACAAATATTTAGTCAAAGGGAAAACTTGACAAAGTTGACAGAATATACTGTGTGGAAATTTAAAGAAATTGGTTTAAGTGGATTAAGACCATGTTACAAATTATTTGAAATAGGAAAATTTGCTAGAACCCTGTTAAAGGATGCTGGGCATCATTGAAATGCATGTTCATGCAAACAGTGTGATAAAATTAGCCTTGCTTTACATGCAAGCAAGGAGTAACAAAAGCTACATGCAAGTGAAAAATTTTACTCCTCAAAATGTTCCTCATCACAAAATCCATGCACCATTCTTGAACCCTATTGCATTTAAAAACACGTGTTTGTTTTTTTTAATAGGATCGGAGTTATGAGTGGAGTTGTCATTGGACATTGTTCTTCTTTTTTCCTATGACAACATTTTTGTTATTTCAGATTTTTTATTTTGCTTTAAATACATGTTTAATATCTATCAACAGATTAAATAATTTTCCTCTTTCAATTAATTAATTCAAGTTTAGGTGTTCTAATTATACTAATTTTTCTACATTTAATTTTTGTTCAGCAACATTTCTTTGAAAGAAGTTTATATTTTTTAACTGAGCAGATGAATCCTTTCAAATGTTTATTCATTTTATAATAAAAGTTTTGTTGTTTTTTTTTTTTTTTTTTTTTTTTTTTTTTTTTTAAATCCAACGAAAGCCCAACAAAAGATTCTTTCACTTTAATCGGATTTTGGCAGCTATCAATCATTAATAACATTGACTTCCTCTAGTATTGCATGTGGCCTAACTTCAACAATCTGCTGATACAACCCAAAGAAATCTTTAACTAAAACATTTATTTTCTTATTTTATATTCAAATGGCTCCTAGCCATTTCTATACTGAAATTCATCCATTTTCATTAATACTAAGAGAAACTCAACCAATACTAGAAACACATTATTGTCAGACTAGGAATATAATAATTATGGTACCACACATTGTATGTTGTATTTTAATCATATTACAAAAGCTTAAATTGATTTCCTGCCAGCATGATTAAAACTTGTTGATTTGAAGGTAAAAGTGCTTTGAGCTAATCTGTCACACATGGATTCCAAACATGGCTTTRACAATGTTCATCTGAGATAAGGTAAAAAATAGTTTGCCAAATACCATACTGAGCAATGTAATAAAGAATATTGCTGTAGGAGGAAGTAATCTCTTTACTAATTAGTTCCCATGACTTCTTAAATTGCATTTGAAGTTCTGAGTGTAATTTGCTATTATTCAGAATAATTCAATTAATTATTAAAAATATTTCATCTACTTTAACCTCAAGGCTTACCTTGCATACCTTTATGACTGGCAGAATTAGTCATAATGAATCCCACCTTTTTTCATTGCCTGCCTGAACTTTCCTTGAAACTTTTCTTTACTGCAAGCTAAGCTCTTCCCTCCAAGATCCCTGTTGGCCATCCTCACCCTGACCATGTGCCTTCCTGCTGCTGTTGATAATGTGTTTTTGTGTTGTTCCTACTGAGAGATTGACTTCTGCCCTGTAGCATCTTCCCGTTGTGCATCTCCCCTGTACTTTACATCGCTTCTCTGTTTCCTTGGGCATGCCCTGTGTCTGAGTCACAGGTCTTTCCATGTTCCCCTGGTACCAGTGGCGCTGCAGGTGTCTCACTTGCACSGTCTCTTTTCATCTGCAGTTTCCCAAGTGACACTGTCCCAAATCTTTAGCTGAAATCTGTCCAGCTGTGCCTTGCATTGCTACCGCCTTTTGCCWTTGGTTGTGAGGGAAGAAATTACCAAGAAGGAAACTGTCATCATTATTATCTCTTAGCAGTCCTGTATTTCCAAAGGCATAATGCTCATCAAAATCCTTATCAGTTTTTCTTGAGTTAGGTTTTTTGGGTTTTTTTTTTTTGTTTTGGTTTTTTTTTTTGTTTTTGTTTCATTTCATGACAGTGGGAACTGATTCTTTCCCCCTCCACTAAGATAATACAATATTTTTGATTTTAACTTTCTCATATTTCACTCCTGTCAGGTAATGATTGTGACAAGCAGAAAGAAGTGAGTTGGTCTTTCCTGGTATTACGTCCCTTGCTAGATTTGCAAGATCTGATGCTACAAATAGTCTTGAATCATGGTATATAACTACTGATACATCCAAGGCCTGCTGGACTTGTGCAATGTTTACAGCTACATTCCCCTGACTCTTTAGATGACTATGAGCTCTCCACTGTGCCCCTGATTATAAATTCTGATATGAAGAGCAAACATATCAGTAGTCACTCAACAGATTTAATTGTTATTTAATTAAAAGGTTTAATAATTATTTAATTAACACAAGTTCAAACTATTTGTACATAGCTTTGTCAAAAAACTGTACATCTTAATGTGCAGCTACTTAACATACTCCCTATTTACTACAAATATCAATGGCAGCTGACAACAAACCTTTTTTTAAAAAATTAAAGATTCCGGGTTTTACAGTTTTACATAATGGCAAAAACAGAAATTTCTTCATATTTTCAGAGAAGGAAAAGACTTTTATAAGAACACCCTCTCCTTTTAAAGAACATCAYATTTCATCACATTATTAACAGATGAGTTTCTGTATTTATACATAATTCCCTTCATAGACTTGACAGCTCTAAGATGTCATGAGGTAGGAGATCTTCACAACACAATAAATTGTTGTGCTCAAAGCAAAGAAAACTTGGAGGTTTCTTTAGTAATTTCATCTTAGGGCACAAGGCTGGTCCCATTATTGAGAGGGCAGCCAGAGTCTGTGAGTGCAGGTGAGAGCTGCTGTGGTTTCTGTACTGAGAGAAGGCTGCAGGAACAGGAAGGAGGCATGAGGAAATGGAGCAATGTGGCTGCTCTTCAGCACAATTAATCCAATTACACTCTGTGTACTTAAATACTGAGCTAAGCTCTCTGTCAAGTGTATGAAAGCAGGAAGGGGCCAGTCCACTGGAGAGCTGGGATCCTGGAGCACAGGATCCTTGTGCCCCATCTTCAGATGTGTGTGAGGGTGTGTGAGACTCAATCTAAGGTAATTCCTGAGAGCTGAGAGATTGTTCCCACAGAGTAGTTGATAAGTGTTGGGTGGGTGGCAAAGATCAGGGGCAATCAAGTTAAAAAATCCTTGTACTGCTGTGCTCAGCCAGTGTATGTGAAGTACCATGATTTAGATCAATTATTGTAAAAACCAAACCAATCAAACAAATCGCACTTTCAGACACTGCATTGACACAGCAGAGCACTCTGGTGAYGCTGAGCATCTGCCCTCAGGGTGTGGGAAGTCCAGAATGTCCACACAGTCAAGTGCAGCTTGTGTGAAACTCCAGGGAATATCAGGGTACTTACTCTGGTTCTGTGAGGGGAGTTGTCTCATTTGGCTCATTTACTGGACTCCCATCTTCATGGTTGGTAATTCTTTCATCCTCTGTTCTCATTTCCACTATTGGTTCTTTTGATCCATCTTTCCTAAAAATTATTAAAGGAGTCTTAGTCTCTTATCATCCCATTAACTACATACATTGCACATTACAAATTACTGAGATCCCTTCTCTCAAAAGTTGGCAAAGGAAAGGCAGAACTAATTATCAGTGACTAACACCACCAAGACACATTTAACAGCRTGTTCCCAATTCCTTGAAGTCTTCAAAGCATCCTGTATCCATGGTTACTTCCYTAACTCTGTAAACATGATGAATTAGCATCTCAAAAGAGCATTTTGTTTATGACTAATAATAAGGCGACAGCTTCTTCATGGGAATTGATGTAAACTTCCCCAACCTAGTATAATGAAGGTAGGACTTGATGCCTAGCTACACTTGAACTTTTCTGGCAGCATTAAAGAGCCATTAYGTGAGTATAAACACCACAAAAGTGTGCTTTAATCTCCTGAGGTTGTGACAACCCCAGCTGCCAGTGACGCAGAAAGCCCCTGCGTGGTAAAAATCTAAACCCTTCTGGTTTTGCAGGTAGAAAACATGGTTTCTATGTCATATTTTCCCCATTTTAGGAATAAGTGCTAATCTCTCGCAAGCAAATGAATAAACATTGTGCTAATTAGACAATAAGGGAGATGGAGCAGTATTATTAGTATGGCTTTGTTGGTAACCACGGAATCACAGAATTTTTTGGGTTGGAAGGGACCTTTGCAGGTCATCTAGCAATTAGCACGGACATCTTCAACCAAATCAGGCTCCTCAGAGCTTCATTCAACCAGACCTCGAATGTTCCCAGCAATGGGACATCCACAACCCCTCTGGGCATGCTTGTTCCAATGTTTCACCATCCTCATTGTAAAAGAGACCTTCCTCACATCCAACCTAAATCTACCCTCCTTCACTTCAAAACCATCATCCCCTGTCCTTTCAAAATATCTGTCCCCATCTTATTCATAAATCCCCTTTAAAAAGGATACAGACAAGTCACCCTGGAGCCTTTGCTTCTCCAGGCTGAGCAGCCCCAGTTGTCTCAGCCTGACACCATAAAGAGGTGCTCCATCCCAAGGGCTTTCTTTTCCCAAGGGCTGCTGAGCTGGATGCAGCACTCCAGGCGAGGTCCCACTGGAGTAGAGGGGCAGAATCACCTCTCCTGAATTTCTGGTCATGCTGTTTTTGATGCAGCTTGGGACACTTCTGATTTTTGGGATGTGAGTGCACATTGCTGGCCCGTGTCCAGCTTTTCATGAACCACACTCCCAAGTCCTTCTCTACAGGGCTGCTCTCAGAAATGTGGACACAATATGGAAATATCTGTTCTCTGCTACAGAAGTAYTAACAACACTCACTAATTAACAAGACTTACTGAAAATATAAATCAATTTGCATATAATTTTATCCTCAAAAGGCAGATCAGAGGATACCCAAGGTATATGYATTTCCAAAAAGACAATATCTTTTGATGCGTATTATTCCTATATCCTGGAACTGCATCAGCTGCAATCTACAAGCAGAGGGTGCTTTGCATTCACATTTATAGTTAACAGACTTTTTTCTGAACTGTGATGTTGCAGGGAGCTGGGTTACGGACCACAACAAAGACCTGGGCATGTTCTTCTCTAATCCATATCTCACATTTTCATAGTTTCTGCAAGATAGTGATAAAACAGGCTTTTGCAACATCAAGTATCAGAAAAACGCTACCATCCATTGATAGGTATCTTTAAGGAAAATCTTTGTAGGTTAATGAGAATATAGCCCAGATACAGAAGTTTTGTGGAGAAGAATTAACAGGTACAAGTCTAAAAGGCTCTGTCTATTAAAAACAAAAACAAAAACAAAAACAAAAAAAAACCAACAAAACTACATGTGTTTATTTATCTCTGCAAGTGACATTTAAGATACCCAAATGGATATAGAGCTCCTTTTGGTAGATGATGTACTCAACTTCCATGGCTACCTCATACCTGGGAAAAGATTAGATGTCTAAGTTGGTGCAATGGGATTAMGTTCTTCTTGGTTTCTTGATACATTTACAGTCTTACAATCATTGCAGGACAAAAAGCCCAAAAAAGATGTTATTTGTGACCAGAATTCACATGCATTTACAGAAGGTACAATCTATGYAACATTTCAAATTCTGAAGAAGGGAAAATGATTTGTAGGAAATCCATTATGTCATGGGTGTCTGTGTGTATGTAACATGCATTGTTTCATCAACATTCATTATTATATGGAACACATTTACTCTCTCTCTCTCTCTATACATATATATATTCTACAATCAAAATGTAACCAAGAACCATATCATAAACCACAAAAAAATGTGTTTTTTTGTGACCAACCTAGAATGCAAACCAACATATTTAAAACGAGGAAATGTCAGTGTATTTCAGGAAATATCAGTTGCCATTATATAAATTCAAACACTGACTCTTCAAGTCTGTCCTGAAGTTTTAGTCTGACAGTTTATTAATGCAGAGAACAGGCTAAAATAAGAACTGTCCCAAATATTTAAAGGTCTGACTGACTGAAGATCACTCTGACAAGGAAGGAAATATGATTAAGTAACAATGTTGTTCTTGCAAAAGAAGTGCAACAGAAGAATTAATATCAAGAGACCAGCTCGATGGTTTTTTGGGACAGCGTGGAATGGCATTTGGGTATAAGATGWGGATAACAAGGTATAAACTGCTGTCAAGTGACATTTGAAGCTTTATCTCCCTAAGGTCTTCCCATTCAGGAGGGTCTAATTCATAGTTGGTCACTCCTTGAATGGGAAATTAAAGCATAAAATGAGGTGCTGTGCTCAATAGGAAAGGACAGCTGAGTCAGAGCCAGGAGCTTCACATCTTGATTCTATTGATCTGGACAGGGTGGCTTCACATGATGGAAAAAACACTGCTAGTCCTTCTCTTAGTGTCAGATGTGGAATTATGGAAAAGCTTTTTTATGGCATAACTTCTCTTCAGAAGCATTATTTGACATAAATACTCTGTGTAGGCTCACAACTGGTTCTGCTCTGYGCAGCTGTTTCTGAAAGGGAACCCCTTTCAAGAAATCAACCAAGATGTGCGGTCAAGTAACCAAAGAAAGACACAGCCTGAAGTCAAATAGCCAGAACTAAACCCAAAAAAGACACTCACACATCTCCACTACTGGCACAGGAGACGACTGCTACATCTGTGAATAATGAGGGCGGCAAGCTCTGCTCTGCTCTGCAGGCATCTGGAGATGGGTGGGATCTAGAAACTGCAGGATGAGGAACAGGASGGACTATTGGGACAGCCACATACCAATTGGAGCAGTGAATATTATTAAACCACACACAGACAGCGTTCTCACACATATTACAGTGTAGGCGTGAGCTGTCTACCAGATGAACAGGATGAAGGAATTAGGTCATTTTTCTAGTGAAAAGATGGAACTGTTGAAAAGGAAGGATCATAAGCAATCTTCTCTCCGGTTTACCTATTGYAAACTCAGTAAATATCAGATCTCAAAAGTGTGATTTTATGTAAYCAGTACTTGAACCATTTTGCCAGAGATCTCACTTATCCACTCTAATAATTTAAGAGATCATATTTTCACATGAAGGATCAGTTAATTCACATTTGTGTGATGGAGTAGCCACTACAGAGGAGTATGTGTGAGAATCAGGATTGTTTATTTCCCACTCATTTTTGGCAACCACTGACTGTTGCTATGAAGAACAATCACACTCACCACAACTCAATCCTCCTATTAAAAAAAAAAAAAAAACCCAAAACAAACAAACAAAAAAAAAACCCAAAAAACTACAGTGATACCTTTCATTCCTAAAACCTACAGAGAAGAATCAAGATTTTCCATCAAGTGCTATTTCTAAGAAGAAAAACTCTCTCACGGATTTTCTATAATGCCGTGTCCTTCAGTCCTGGATTTACTGGGACTGTCACAACCAGAGGCTGAGGTTTTGGGTGTTAGCAGCTCAAAGACGGATTTGCAGAAGTGGAGTTACAATGATCTGTTACCTGTTTCTCATGAACCAAATCACGTCTGTAACTAGTACTGAATTACAATTGATTTTCTTTGTGTCAAGATGGACAAAGAGGTCATCCTAAACTGAGCTGTATTACTTTCCTTTTTTTGTGTCTCTATTTTTCTTTTTAAAAGCAATAAACAGCTCTACACACTGCAGAGAAACACTTTTCCGAGTAGTAGAAGCTTTTTATTAATTCCCTTTGCCACACCACAAAACGGCCATAAAGTTAATACAAGTYGGACAGACAGCTTTTTCTTTTAAGGATGTTTCCAACACACATGATAAATACTCACAAGTAAGCAGCTTTTCCTTCTTCCAGCTCTTTACTTTTTCCACTTGAGCCGCTCTTTTTCCCGCAGATCCTCCTGGTGATGCACATGAGCAATCCGCATTGTCGTACAAAGAAGCAGCTGACATCAGTCACAACCAGGATTAACAACAGRGCTGCCACTCCCAGGCCAATGACAGCACCAAGTCCAAGACCATTAAAAAGAGTGTCTTGAAGGAAAGAACATTGACACTTATTAATAACATTAATCCTAAAATAGCATTTTCTAAGATATTGGTCAGAAGACTAAAGGATGCTTAGGAATGAACMATTCAGAAATTATTAGAAATAAACAGTCCTGATGATTAAGCATATATACCACCTGATTAAAATCACAAAAAACCTCTCTCTTCTGCATAATATTTTCCCATTGCCAAAATTCCAGCAACTTTACAGAGCATAAATGGCAATATTTAATAACAAATAATGTCATATCTAAACATTCCATGACTGAGAGTAGCAATAAGCAGCCTGAGGAAAATATTTTAAATGTTCAACATGAACACTGATATAAGTTKTCATTTCCTACAATGCATATATAATTAATTAGCAGTGGTGATAAGCAGAATTACTGAAAGGTTTAAGAGAATATCAAAACAGTATTTATTCTTGTAATTTTCTGAATTAAAAGAGAGTGAAAGGTAAGTTAATTCATATTATTTAATCTGCAAACTGTTGCACACACTTAGTCTTAAATAATTTAATGTCGGGGAAAATATGCATATCATCAAGTGATTACAGGGTTAGGACCTCATCTGGCTCAGTCTTGTACCTTGAAAACACAATCATACACTTCAAAATAAACACATTCCACACCTGCTTTCTGTGTTTGAATTATGAGAGCTGATGTTTAACTAATTTCACTTCATTGCAAATATAAGAAAAAATATTAATGTTTTGMCTTAGTTGATATTTCCAAGACAGCAATGCTACAAACCCTTTTGAACAGAGTGATTCTCAGGAGCCTGTGCACTCAGATTACACTTATTCAGGAGAGGACTTGTGTCTGATCAAGAATGAGGGGGAGAAAAGCCTTCTCATGCATCCAGCTCAYTCAAGAAGATTCCAGACTATCAAAAAATTGGCCAGTGACAATTGCCTGGTGTGACACTGTGCTGAGCAAACTCCCCAGGGGGGTGGAACTGGGTGATTTTGCCATGGGCACTGCCCACCAGCACTGGGTGGGCTCCCAATTTCCACCTGCAGCTCTGCCTGCTGCCAAAATAGGAGCAAGATTATTCTGACTGGAGATCACTTGAATCTTGTTGTAACAGACACCAAACCATTACATAAAGTAACATCATATAAATATTTTAATTTGGTTAGTATTATCTTTCTCTTCTTTCTTTTCTAATTCTCCTATACACTATAGATAGTTTTCAGATTAAGCATAGCATTTAAGCTTTCATATTTCTGCTTAACCATTTTTAATGATAATATCTTTACCATTTCAAATAGAATTTGAAAGTTATTTTCTTGCAAGCTTCTAAATCAATAAATATATATTCTTAGTCTAGTCTTTGTTTAAAACTCTAAAATGGAAAAGTAAAAAACTTTTCTCAAAAGAAGGGGAAGGTTTTACTTCTTAAGCAATCGATTTCATTGTCTRTTGTATGGGTTGTTTTATTATAGAAATGTTCTTCAGAATGTTATTATGCAACAAGCTAGGATTCAGTGTATGTATTTACATGCATGGATAAGCAGAAAAACAGATATTACTTCAAAGTTATTTTCCTTTGTTCAGAAAGACTTAAAAACCACTACATAAATTACAAAAAAATGGCACAGCACTGAAATTATGTATAATTTATGCACTGCCCCATCAGCAATGTTGGAAGTTGACAATTTGCAATATTTCTTTTCTTTCCKTTTTTAAACATCAACATTCCTACTTAAATATTGTAATTTCTGRTACTTCTTCAAAAACTTATTTTATCCCTAAATCCTCCCACCTGTTTGGCAACTTTCTTTGTAAACTTCAGTCATTTTTGTTTACCAGTCTGAATTGTCAGGAAGACATAACCAGATTTTCAATTCCAGTTTATTAAAAAGCTCATATATTTCAACTGATAGAATACCACTAAATTCTATAGTCTGTTTTAGAGACATAATACAGTGAAGAATTAATCTCTGTATCTTCTCAACCACTAGATAGAACATGTAGGAGAAAAAATAGGTTTATTTAATTCATATTTTAAAAGGGATTCAGGGTTTTTCTTCTGGTTTAGTTTTAGGGTTTTTKTTAATGCAATGTTAAGAAGTTTTTACTATGAAGAGATACATTTTTCACTGTTGTGAACCACACTTTCAGTGTCCTTGGAACACTGTGAAGTGGCAAGGTTCCCACTCTAAGTGATTCAGTGCCAGAAATGTCTGCACAGTATTCTCACTGGCAAGTGAAAGAAATGTTTACAGTAGAAATATCACTCCTTTGTATAATATCTGCCAGAGTTGTAGGGGAGACTTGGTTCTTCATTTTTAATCCTCTTGGTAGAGGTCAGACATCTGAGACATAAATATTTGACTGTTGTATATTTCTCCATCTCTTTGTGGTTAATGGTTTCCTTTATACTCAGCATTCCCCATCCTTACCCCTACTGCCCTACCAGCCCTGAGTTGTATTTGCCCTACTTGAACCCCTTTTGTTCCTGCAGGTTTCTGCTTCATAAGTGTGATTTCTTACAACTGCCAGCACTTCTCCAACATTTCTCTCTTTATCTCCCACATCCCAAAGAGTGACAGGAATGTGGCCAAACTCACTGGTGGGGTGAGAAGTGTGGCTGTCATCAGCCTTCTCACCTGTCTGAGGATCTTATGGACTTTCTTCTGAAAACAGGAAGAAACTTYTGAAAGCAGGAAGAAACTGGATTGCCTTGTGTGTTAAATCGATCTGTGTTATGGTTTATCTTTAAGATTTTTTTAAAGTCCATCTGTGGCTTAATTCTGTTCTTTTTTTAAATTGCTTTGACTTTGTGCATGCCTATCTGCTCCCAAAAAAATCAGGTGTAAAACTAATTCCAATTACTATTAAAGCAGATGAAACCTCTCCTGACTGGTTTCAAAAATCATATCCTAATATATCTACAGTTTCAAAACAATTTCAATTTTTTTCTCTATATATTAGGACATCAACAGAAGTTMAAATTCTGTGACTGGATAAAATAGYAATGTCATACTACAAACAACCTTTCCACCAACTCTGAAAAACAACTCTGCTGAAAAAAGTGTTACCCTAATTTTTTTTATTACTATTATTAATATTATTACTATTATTATTTAAAGTTATATTAAATAACTTTTTTTTTTAAATATTTGGGGTTTCGACAGTTTCCCAGTATTTACCAAACAGACTAAAAATAGTAGTTTTACTTTGTGCTCTAAAGTAACAAAGCGTTTACGCATTACATACCTTTTTATTCTCCTAGTTGAAAACAAACCTACTTTAAATCATAAAATTCCAACGTTAATATGAGAGAATCAGTTCTTAGAATTTTTTTCAAAATGTTTATTGCATACCTCACTTAGCTGACTAACTATAAAGGTCCTTCTTAACCACCACTTGGTTAAAAAAAAAAAAAAAAAAAAAAGTAGAAGTTCCATAGTTTTGAGTCAGTTTTAATTACAATTTGTCAAAAAAATGTTAAATTTAAAATTTTATGGTTTTATTATACAGAATGGAGCATAAATAATTTAATATCTTGCCACAATGATGAAGTAAACTGACAACGTTAAAGACACTTTTTTTATCCACTTCTTCAAAGAAGTGTTAATCAATCAATACTTATAAAAATAAGATTAAAAACTCTCAGAAATAAAAAAAAAAAAAAAAAACCAAAAAAAATTAATAAAAAAAAAAAAAAAAAACAAACACTAAAAAGAAAAACCTGAAGCAAGTTTCTCTAAGTGTCATTGAAAGTTTTGGAAATTTTCAAGTTCTCTCTTATTGAGTAAGTTATGTTTCTAATGATTTCCAATTAGATAATTRAACATTTTTGAAGAATTCATTATTTGATGAGAAAGATGAAACAAGAGCTTTGGCAAGTAAAACAGAATTTTCCAGTGAAAAGAACTGAGTGRAAAGATAAATTTTCTTGACTGTCAAATATAAATTTGGACTGCATTCCTTTAAGGGYTCTGCCCCAGATTCTCTAAGGGAAACAGGTCAAAAGGGAGTCACCGCCTGCGCATGTGTACAGAATCACAGAATATTTGTGCTGGAAGGGACTCAAAACCTCRCACAATTCCAAATCCCCAGCCATGGCAGGGACACCTCCCACCAGAGCCCCATCCAACCTGGCCTTGAACACTTCCAGGGATGGGCAGCCACAGCTTCTCTGGGAAACCTGTGCCAGTGTTCARTTACACTTCACACACGGCAAACTAAAGCTTTGCTTCTGCACAGGAACCACATGTGCAACACTGATATATTTGGGCTGATGTTACATGAACGCAAGTCCTGTGACAGCATTTTCCTGTTCTCTTACAGAATCATGCTGTATAAATTCAATTACTGTTACAATAAAATAGTAATTGCAAGCTTTATGATAAGCAGGCTGCATGAGCAGGGCAGTTGGACAAGGTGATCTCCAGAGGTCCCTTTCAGACCTTTAGTCATATTGAGTTTTGCTGGGAAAAAAAGCAAGTTAGCACCTTCCTCTGCCTTATTCCCTTCCCTTCTCCTTAGCAGACATGGATTGGAGGTATGATGAAGGACAGATGATTATACATAGTTCCCTTTCACAGTAACTTGAATTTTTAAGGAAAAAAAAGAAATGCTATAAAATACTTTGCTAGTTTATGGGGTAACACCTGGCTGCTACATGCACATGGGACTGAGTTATGATACATGTTTGTCCTCTCTCTCAAGTCAGTCAGAAAATAAACTGCTCTTAAGCTTAAGTAAAAAAGTGRAAATTATGAACTAGAGGGTGAAATTGAAAATACTGCACTGGGTCATGGCAGGAAGAAAACCACTCTTGTTTATCATCTTGAACTACCCTGTTGTACTGACCCTTAAAAAGGTRTCCAACCATGATGGTTATTTTTGCACTGCCCGTGAATATTGTCTTTGATTTTGTATCTGATCTTGAACTTTTCCTAGAYTCAAAGGCTTACAAAATGCCTATGCTTATTTAAAACCTCTCAAAACATAGAAAGCATTGATCTTAAA